CACACACACACACACACACACACACACACACACACACACACACACACACACGGTTCTCCCATGATGCCACTTACTCCGCCTGGCTTTAAAAACCATCACTGCCAACCTCACATACAAAGAGCAGAGGCTGCATTCGAACCCTGGAGCTGGGAGGAGGCACCGTGCCGATAGCGGGTCTCATAGTTGTATATAAAGGGTATATAAAACTGGGGCTGAGCAGCGCAACATGTCTGACACCCCTGACTGCCAATTGGATGGAACTCTTACTTTAATCAGTAATCATTTTTGTTTTTTTGTGACAGTATCTGGTGACCGCCCCACCAGGTGAAGGCTAATTCAGTGGGGTGGGGGGGGCATTTAGGGTGATGGGAAGTCTGTTGGGGGATAGAGAGCGGAATCAGCTCCTTAGGATGTGGGGCTGCTGTAATGGCACATCGTCACTTGTAGTACATTTATCATGATGCCTGATTAGCCTCCATGGTCGCCTTCAGGGCTTGCGGTGGGGGGAGGGACACTGGCTCCTGGGGGTGTCTCCATCGCATGGTGTCCTGGATACCCTTCGGCCCCATAGCTGCATGCTGCTAATTAGCGAATGCCTCCATGGCAACTACCTCTGGGCATCAAACAGGCCTGCAATTGCTACGGATGAGCCCGTCGTTCTGTTTACCTGGAGGGCTTTGTTGCTGCTCTTGGTGTGTTTGGGGGATCGATAGCTGGTAGGCATCCTTAAGCTGATGGAGCTGGGGTGGGATTGGATGGAGCCTGTCCGCCTGCCTCCTGTGAGCCTGGGGCTTATGAGGGCAGGCTGTGCTTACTCGATCCCTACCAGCCCCCTTGTTCCGTCTGGGATTGGGATACTAAGCTGGTAACGGTGTTGCCATCAGAAGCTCAAAGTACATAGGTCTTACACCCAGTGCATTTCTGCAGCATCACTGGCTGGATTTCATTGGCTGCCTGGCACAGCATTTAAGTTTTTGTGAACTCGATACCACTCCCCCCACCCTCTTAGCTGGCCAGGGAAACACCTGTCCCAGACCAGCAGATCTTATCAGTGGAACAGGGCGGACCAGAATGGGTCACTCTGGGGGGGCTGGGCGGGTACTGCAGGAAATGGGCCGCTGTGAGTTTGAGCTCATGTCCAGAGATTGCGGCTTTTCCCGAATCTGAGCAGGAATTAATGACTTTGGTTTGTCCCATCAAACTGATCTCTGATGGAGTCTGGAAACCAATGTTATAGTGTAAAGCTTTGTCAGAAAAGACACAAAGTGCTCTGTGTCTTTCAGGCGTTCCCCCACCTCTCCATATACACCAGCCAGACTGGCATTATCAGCCAGATTATAGCGGGGGCTCTTAGGGTTGAGGATAAGGTCAACTGATCTCGGATCAGTACTTTGCTTGTTTCGTCCTCCCTCAGACTTGTTCTGCTGTAAAAGCTCCTGTACCAGCCCCCATGCCCCCCATCAGCTCGCAGCCTGCCTGTGAAGCCCAGTATTGTATCTCTGCAGTATTATCATGCAGATGAGGGCCCCGGCCTCACTGTTGTCAGTTTTGCTTGGTGGGGTAGCCCAGCTATTGTCCAGGCTTGCCAGCTATTCTCGCTCTGGGGGGGGGGGGGGGGTAGGAACTTTCTGTCCAGCCCAGAAGGACTCCAATTCAGACACTGTGTCTGTGTTTGTGATGTCAGTACTGGATGTGTGGTACCTGAGGACGTTAAGGCACTGGGGGTGTCATTGCATTTGAATTTTAATGTTCAGATATTACTGCGGGGCTTCCAGCCTTAGTGTCATGCTAGGATGGGTAGGAGGTTACACAACGCGTCAGTGTCGGTTTAATTAGCTCTGCCTCCAATACCTAATATAAAACACAACTCCCCGACATTACATTATTATGATACGTTAAGTTTATAATGTACTGTTTATGAAAACTGAGCAGTGATGCATTAAGGAATGAGTATCAATGTGTCCTTGAAAGTAAACGGTCTCCTCCAGGTTGACTGGTAGTACTTTAGCACCCTGGTTGTTTCCTCGGTTAGGGACTCACTTTTACACTGACCTAGGTCTGGATCAGCTGTCACACTAGGGGTGACGCTTAGACAGAGTTACTGCTTCCTTAGGGGTGGTTTGAGAAATGCAGTGAGAGAGAGAGAGAGAGAGAGAGAGAGACTGATTTCACAGAAGCTCTTAGCTGGGTCACATGACACTTAACTGTGCATCTGCTGAGAGCTGGAGGGATTCTCTGGAAGTGTGTGTTCATGCGACGTAACATGGAGTCAGATTGTAAACATCAAGGCATTGTGTTCTCCTCAGTGCCCATGTCCTGTTGCCCATAGAGTAGATCTGACATCTTCGTGATTGACTGAAACCCTCTGCCCCTGCCCACTCATGTGATTTAGCCCACCCCCTGCACACTCCTCCCAGCACAGTGTAGCTGAAGGCCTAGGATGAATGAGTGGGCTACACCAGAGCAGTCCCCGACATACAGCAACTTAAAACACAACTGTACAGTACAGCAAGCTCCTTCAAAATACTGCAGTCAGGTGTGCTGATGTTGCCTTTCCTCTAAGGGGTATAGTCTGGATTTGATCAGGTTTACTGTGATTACTTAAATGGCATAGGTGAGGAAATGATGGCATGGAGTGAAGCTGAAGACCCAGACCTCTTCAGAGAGACGGGAAGTTTTCTCACTGTCTTAATCCACCAAGAGGAGCATCAGGTTGATTAGTGTGTTAGTGCACCATTTAGAGGTTCTTTCGGTTTAAAGAGAAGAAGGGCTTTTTTTTTTGAGGATTTCAGCTTCTGAATGTAGCACAATGTTGTCACTCGGAACATGCTGGAATGCGCGTGTCCGCCAGTGCGTACTTGCCGAGTCCTGCGGGCGTCTTTGCCGCCTGGTGTAGAGGATGAATGGCAGAGTGCTGAGCATGCTCACTGCAGCCCTGCATGCTCACTGCAGCCCTGCATGCTCACTGCAGCCCTGCATGCTCACTGCAGCCCTGCATGCTCACTGCAGCCCGCGCCAGTGGGAGCTCTGATCTGGGCGCCAGGCGTCTGCTTCAATGGCCTTATTGTTCCACTGTGTGTACACGGCAAGCCCCAGCCTCATCTGGCACTGATTATAGCACAGGCATGCTGGGTAATATCCTGGGAGGAAACCCCTCCCCCATGTTTGTTTTACCATGGTCACATGATCTCTCTAAACCACAATCCCTGCTAAGGCTGACTGCCTTACACCTGTGGGGAGTAGAGTTGTCAGGTTGGATATATTAGGGGCTGACATCACTGGGTTTTTTGTGTGTGTATGTGTGTGTGGGGGGGTGGGGGTGTGCGTGTGCGCACACGTGTCCATGCTTGTACTCGTACTGGGTGGGGTGTGTGGTAATGAGTGTCCAAGTGCTTGTGGGGCACATAAAAGGAGCTGAAGAAGCCTGAAAAACTGCCCATCCCCCTCTGGTCTGCACACCTGATCTCATGCCCCCCCCCCTCAGTGTGGAGCAGGTGGACTGTTCCGCCTGGTTGCCACGGTGCTATGACTGCTTAGCTTTGTCAGCCCGGCTCTGTTGTGAGATGAAGGGTCAGAATGTTCCATCCTCTGTGGCCAGATGGGGATGTTGTTTCAGTTTGTGCAAACAGAGTTGGAGGACCTCCATTGTCTTAGTGTTGACCTTATTAACTATTTGTGGCATCTAGGAGTTCCTTGCACTCCCTGGATCATTTTGTGTGCTTGTTTTGTAGGACCCCTAGGGTCACTGTGCAGAGATACGATGATCTGCAGGAAGTTAGCTGGCCAGAGTGGATTTGGCTGCTGCTACCTTGGTTTAGTGTTTGTGGTGACTTGTGTGGAGAATGACTCTGGTTTAAATCACACCCTTAATAGTGCTGCTTCAATGACTATGTTTTTTTTTTTTAAAATTAAGAATTCAGCAGGCCCCCCTGTGCCCCTGACCAGGATACGTGATTAGAGGAGGGATGGATGGATGGATGGCTTCTGCAGAGTGTTGCATTAAAGTCTCTTATTAGTTATGTAAATGTGATGAGGGGATAATATACCTATTGATATGTGATGTCTTCTGGCCTGGTCATGTTCCCGCAGTTTCCCACACCTCCTCTGACAGGGGACTAGAGGTCTGTGCCTTGGATTCTCAGACTCGCTTGCACTGGGGGAAGGGGGTGTTTCCTGGTTTTGATCCTTCATAATGACAAGTTTTTTGTTTGTTTTTTTCCCTCCACATTTTACATATTATATTCCTGGTTTGTGTATTAGGTTTTGTTATGCAGACCCACACTTTGTAACAGATCCTTATCTGCATATTGTAAACAAACATGTAAAATAATCCAAAATATAACATCAAAACAATCATAATGAACCAACTGCCATCCAAACCCCATGTTATGTCCTGCCGATTATTGCATATCTGTAGCAATAGATCTCTATAGCCATGATTGTTTTTAACCCGGTCAGAATTTCCTGCTGAAACCACCTTAACTGCTATGGGGAGACTCTTTTGCTGTGGCTCTGGTAGTACGCACAAACCCGGTTGATTGTCTCAGACGAGTTGGCACATTGGATGTATGTGCAGCAACACTTTGGTATAGGCCTATCAGAACCGCAATTAGTGTAATGTTTTCCGTGTTGAATGTCTACTTGAGTTCCGCCCATGTCAATAACTGTATTCGTTTCATTGTGCGTACAGAGCCGAAATGATGTACTGAAAGAGTACACAACAAATTCATGTAGTTACAGCCCCAGGGTTGACTGATCTAGGTACTCTCTGGAAATTTCCTTCTGTGGGTCATTCCCTTGCAGTGGATAGCAGGTGGCAGGTCAGAGGGGAGACTGGTGGGGGTTTCAAGCACTTCGGACACGTTTGCTACTCGGAGAAGCTCTGTGATGCCAGCCTGGCTATCAGTATCAGATACAAATGATTGACTGACTCTGGTTTCCGTTCTCCTGTTCTGGAAGGTCGCAATGAGTTGATCGCCCGATACATCAAGCTGAGGACAGGCAAGACAAGGACGCGGAAGCAGGTAAGGCCACGTGGCTCAGCCTTGGCATGGCAAGGGGCCGCTTTTATGTCCTCATCATCCAGCACCGTGACGATGTCCGTGTCGTTCTTACATGTTGGTTTTCCTCTGTCTTGTTCTCCCCTCTTGTCCTCCTGCATAAATAAAAACGGAGGTGTCTAGTCACATACAGGTCTTAGTGAAAAAGAAAGTTTGAGAAATCCAGGCCACCATCAAGGTACGTGTGGCCTGCCCACTGGTGGGCCTCCCCCGTTGCCATGGTTACAGGCTCTCTCTCTCTCTCTCTCTCTCTCTCTGTCTCCCTCACCCCGCTCCACAGGTGTCTAGCCACATTCAGGTTCTTGCCAGAAGGAAATCTCGTGAGTTACATTCCAAGCTGAAGGTATGCACTCCTCTGCTCTTGGGCTCATGGTCGCTAAGCGCTTCACTCTGTCACCCCTCTCTCCCCCAAATTCATTTTCAGCTTTGCTTCTCCTATGTGTCTGCTGGGTACGTTTTTGCTTTGAGCAAAGGGGACTGGATCTACTTTGGTTCTGGGGTTGGATGTGGGTGCTTGAAGGATCCTGTGATCTTCAGAGCTGAACCACAGCTTCTTGTGTGGGGCTGTATCCCGTCCTGCTCATAGGCGTTTAGTGTTCTCTGCCGGACCCCGTTGAGGTCCCGCCACAGCCTCAGAACCTCGGGAAGGGACTCTCCCCCTTTGGTGCTCTCTGCTTGATAGCCTACGGCTGCGTCTGTGTATGGCTCTGCTCAAGGCAAACGGTGTCCAGCGCTGAGCGTGTGGCCGCTTGGCTCTGCCTGTGAGTGGGCTGTGCTGACCCCTCGTGGGGCTCCCTGGCCGGAGATCGCTTTCCATGCCGGCGGTGAGCCAGGGGCCCTCTGCTCTCCCCTCTCTCTCCCTCCTCTCCCCATACTCGGTCTCCTTTGCCACTTCGGTGCCGTTTGGGCTGTCTTCTCTCCGTCCTTTAACTAATCGTTCAGCTGTCGTTGGTCTCTAGCTGCATCTTCTGAGCTCCTAAACAATCACATGCTGGCCAAGTGTGGTGTGTTGCCCCCCCGTGAGCCAAGGTGACCTGGGCTGTGCCTCCCATGCCTGACTGAAGGTGTGCGGCCTGTGTAGTTGCTCGCCTGGCTCCCCCGCCTCTGCTGTGCATGTGTGCTGGGTGGTGTGTGGCGCCCCCCGGTGGTGCGGGTGGTTCTTGTACACGCTGCCACTCCTGTCTGCTTGCTTGGGCCCAGCAAAGCCTTGTAGTGTCACATTTTAGGTCATTTTCTCCCTAGAGGAATAGTCCATATGACTAAACATTAGCACACTGAAAAAGAGAAGTGTGTCTGTAACAGCGTTCATGCCTGCAGAGTGGTGGTGGCCCCCAGCGTCAGGGCTATCAAAGTCCATTCTCCTGTTTAAAATGACCTGATGACTGACTGCCAGGAGCCCTAAGCTTCCCTCTGCACACGTTTCCCCTGAAGGCAAAGCCCGGTGGAGCTCAGCTGCACTTTGTGGGCAGGTCTCCTTCGTGTTCCTGCCATTGTCTACATTGTAAGGAGCCTGCAATGTGGTTTCGTCGCCCGTGTGCGTCGTGCGCATGTAAACGGAGATGCTGCGGTTTCCAGAGGGCAACCGCGTTGTGTGCAGTCTGCAATTACAGTTTATGGGTTGTAAAATGACAGCCAGCCTGTTCTGTTTGCTTTTAGGTGACCAGCATGGTAAGTCCACACTCGTTGTGGCACCCCCCCCACCCCCCCACCGTGCTTTTGCCTTTACCTCTGCCTGGCTGCCCCTTCCTCCATCATGCTAACTCTGATCAGCAGGACTGATCTGTGTGCTCGGCTTCTGGGCTCCCTGGTCATGTCAGGCTACTGCGCGTAAAATGGCAAAAGGGGCCGACTTAAGTTATGGTCATGGTCAGATTAACTGGGTGCTGAAGTCGTCCGAGCTGCTGGTTTTATCTGTTGGCCGTCCTTCACTGCTTGGTCCGCACACACCTGCCCAGCTGGCTCTTTGTGGGATCCTGTATATGTGTACGCAGGCATGCACGCTCTGTGTCTGCATGTGTGTGTGTGGGAATGCATGCTCTGTGTGCGTGCTCACGGTCTGTCTGCACGCTGAGCTTCTTCCCGCTGTGGCAGGACCAGACAGCCAAAGACAAGGCCCTGCAGAGCATGGCCTCCATGTCCTCGGCACAGATCGTCTCCGCCACCACGGTCCACAGCAAGATGGGCCTCCCCCTTGCCCCGCAGGCCTCCTTCCCGACAACCCCTACGGTAAGTGGCCTGACCCAGGCCTATTCACTAGGTGAGGCTGAGAACATTGGTCTCTTATTCGGGATGGCTGAGGAGAGATGTGGGTTTCGTCTGTCAAACGAACACTGGAAGATGGTCGTTTGTAAATAAAGTTTTTGTTTTTTTCTTTTGAACCATTTTGCCAAGTTAACACTACAGAACTCTGGGCTTCTGGCCATCAGTGTGTGGGTTGGACGGATTATATTTTCGTTATCTGCTGACTAAGCTTTTCTCTAGTTTTGGCAGGGCATGGTTACGCCAGGCCTGGCTGGATCGTCACAGGAGTGAGTAGAGTGCTCTGCGTTTGTCCCACCTGTGTGCTCACGCTGACAGGCCTCAGTAACTGACTGGCTGTCTCACTACTGCTTCCCATTTCAGCATCAAGCCATTCACCCAGCAAGACTCCTCAATCCAGGCCCTGCCAGCTACGCCCATTGCAGGTGGGCTATTTGTGTGGTTCTCTCCAGCGATTCACTATCCTTTAAGGAAGAACCCTGTCTGGCTAATTGTATTCCGGCCATTGATTGGTCCACAGACATGTCAGCTCTTATCGGATTGGGTGCTTTTGTGTCGCAGGCTACGAGCCCGCGGTGCCTGCAGCCCCTGCTTGGCAGGGCCGCTCCATCGGCACCTCCAGGCTGCGGCTGGTGGAGTTCTCCGCCTTCATGGAGCAGCAGCAGGACCCGGACTCGGTGGGTAGCTGCGTTTATGACCTTGCACCCTGTCGTGAGGAGGAGGTGACACACCAGCACCTCCTCAGTGTATACACTCAACCCTACACCGATGCCCTCCTGCTTCTTTTGAACTCTTACAGAGTATTTGTGCCAATTGTGTGAGGCACAAAACCCTCTTCATAAGCCATTCCCTTAATGAACATGTTCCCCTTCAGGTTTTTAAATCTCTGTGGTGCCTCATTCTTGTTCCTGGTTCAACCAGGAGTTGGTCCTCCATGCTTCATCTAGCGACTGTTCCTGTTACAGGAGCATTGTTTGTTTCCTCTCCGTTCTCTTAGCGGTACGGAATTGGCCTGCACACGTTTAGTTCAGGGCATCAGAGGTGGTCGGGCAGATACAGCCCGTTCATTGGCTGTTTGTTGAGATGACGGAACGGCGTGTCGGTGGCCTGATTCGCGGCGTCTGTCTTGCTCTTCCAGTACAAGCACCTCTTTGTGCACATCAGCCAGACGAACCACTCGCACAGCGATGCCCTACTGGAATCGGTGGACATACGTGAGATTTACGACAAATTCCCAGAGAAGAAGGGTGGCCTGAAAGAGCTCTTCACCAACGGGCAGCAGAACTCTTTCTTCCTTGTCAAATTCTGGGTGAGTCCCGGTCACGAGGCAGACGCCTGTCGTCGGGGTTTGGCCTGCTCCACGGCTCATGCTGCTTCTGTCCTGCAGGGGCACAAACAGCTGTAGGTGTGATTGTGGTTTTTAATCACCCTGGAGCATGTTGTCAGCATTATCATGGGTGGAGTGCTTGTGATCAGAAAGTCTCTGGTTCACATCCTAGGGTTGGCAGTGATTTCACTGCTCAGCCCTTGAGCAAAGCCCTTAAACTCCAGTTGCTTCAGGAACTGTTTTCTCAGCTCAGTCACACATCACTTTGAATACGAGCGCCTGCTGAATAACATGTAAATGTATTATGTCCAAATAATGTCTTGCAGAGTCCTTCCTGGAAGGTTTTTTTCTTTCCTCTGTTAATTATTCTTTTTTTTTTTATATATGAAATGTTGCATTGAGGGCCTAGCAGTCACCCTCTTTATACATCCTACTGTCTGTGGCTCCATGTCGTAACATGGTCGCAGTCTTGTCCCTAGGCAGACGGTATTCCAGTCTTCCTTAAACAACTTCCCCCTGTCACCCGCAGGCGGACCTGAACTGCAACGTCCAGGAAGAGGCGGGGGCCTTCTATGGCGTCACCAGCCAGTACGAGAGTCCCGACAACATGACCATCACCTGCTCAACCAAGGTGTGCTCCTTCGGGAAGCAGGTTGTGGAGAAGGTGGAGGTAAGAGGAGCTGCCCTGCTGGCTCCCACGAGGATTTGTCTGGCAGAGGGCTTCATGAATCAGCCTTCATTTTCCCTGTTCTGTACATCCCGCTAAACGTGACTGGTCACACCTAATCACACACTAGTATTGCACCCCTGCACTTACTTTGCTTTACTAATCATTTGCACATCTGTTTTCCCCCCACGCATATTTATTTGTTCTCATTCTTATATTGTACTGTTGTCGGTCCTATTGTCCCCTCCCCTGTAACTGTGGCATAAGAATTTCTCAGTGTTCCTCTGAACACGTTACAATGAAACCTGAAACATGAACTTAATGTTTCTGCTGAGATCCCAGAGCCACACCTGAGACGATGGCTGTGGCCCTTTTGTGTTCCCAAGCACATTATCCTGCTGTCCACCCTGAGATGCCAGAAGGCCTGAGCATCTCCCATTTCTCTCCCCCCCCTCCCCCCAGACGGAGTACTCGCGCTTTGAGAACGGACGCTTTGTCTACAGGATAAGCCGCTCCCCCATGTGTGAATACATGATCAACTTCATCCATAAGCTCAAGCACCTCCCCGAGAAGTACATGATGAATAGTGTTCTGGAGAATTTCACCATTCTATTGGTAAGCCCAGCCGCCCGTCACACCTGCCGGCCCAATCCCCAGCAGCCGCGATGACGGCGTGCCCTCTGCCTCGTGTGCTGCAGGTCGTCTCGAACCGTGAGACGCAGGAGACACTGCTGTGCATCGCCTGTGTGTTTGAGGTGTCCAATAGTGAGCATGGTGCCCAACATCACATCTACCGGCTGGTGAAAGAGTGAGTCATCCTTTGGGGTGGGCCGCCCGCAGCCGAGCTGTACCCAGTACGCCTTGAGCTCACAAGTGGAGCCCCACCCCCTGGCGCGCACATGTATGACAGAGACTGTAAATTGTGGTACAGTTGTGATTTGAGATGGGAGTTGCTGGTCCCATGGTATGTTGCAGTGACATGACCACTGGGCGTTTGGAGAGATGACCTCACCATTCCTGCTCTGTCACCGTATTCATGACAAAATGGAAAGCTTTCTTATGTGGCTTATGTAAAGTTCTTTATCTGTATATATGTATGGTTTTAACTGTGTGTGTTTGTGTATGTGTGTGTCTGAACACAAATGTACATGCACACACATTTCCAAAGAAAATCTTTTGAATCGTGTAAGTATGAATTGTTTATAAACTCTTTAGAAGGCAAATCGTCATGACTTACCTGCCTACGGGGACTTTTTCCAAACTTCCAATCACGACAAACTTACCTGTGATCGACGTGCAACAGCTCTCTCAAAGACTGGAGCACTTGGCTGTCATGCCCTGGAAAGGCGGTGCCTTCTATTTATGCAAGTGCGAGGCTGTCGGGAAAAGTCCCGTAAACTCATCTCAGACTCTGTGACTTCGCTCATGGAGGTCAAGCGAGGTTTTCATGGTGGTCTCTTTCTCCAGAGTGGCCGCATTTCGGCTTTTTGTTGGAGTCCTGTTACAGCGCAAGTCTGTGGCCTCAGCTCTCAAAATCTCTCCATGAACCCTTGACTGTGAGCTCCTTCCCACGTGGGAAGCTTGCCAAAGTGTAATAGTACACAGTGCCTTAGTTTAATACTGACTGGACTGTACTGTACTGAGTGGCACTAAGACCAGATCCCAGGGAGCCGTCTGGGCACTGGGAACACGAAGGCTCATCCGGTGGGGCTCAGGCCTACGTCTGAAGATGGGGACTTTAACACATCACCACCGCGCCCACAACACCAAATATGTACCAGCCTGTGGAGAGCGCCTGCACTGTCAGTGTTAAAGTGCCTTATGTTCATGTGGCTGAGCTGGGAGACGATAGAACATTCCGTAATGGGAGTGAAACGGAGACGGCGGGTCGCCACAGTGCGCTTTAGACACTGATGATACGGCAGGACTGAAGAGGGCTGCAATCAGTCACCACACCCCCCCCACCGAGGAGTCTGCATTCACTGACGAGAGGGAGCCACTCTCAAGTCACTCCTTTTTTTTTTTTGGGGGGGGGGATGAGAAAAAGCCTTAAAAGTTTAAAGACTTGGAGTGGAAAGGGGGTTGGTTGCCTGTAAACCATTTGCAGTGGCTGAGGTTGGACCACTGGGATAGTAAGTGTGTAGTTCCCATTATTTCTTAAATACTGGTACTGTTGCTGACGTAAAAATTTTGTCTTTAAAGAAATGAGAATGAAGAGTATATTTAAAAGCTGCTTTGTATAGGAAAACTTTGTTACTGGTAGTTTTTTTTTTTTTTTTAAGTGTTTGAGCCGGGAGTGATGTCAAGTAAAAGACGATCATGTGCATTTTTCTGACTGCAAACTGTTCTGTATTTGTTCAGACTTTATGCCTTTGAGAAACTGATAGGTTTTGTAGCTTTCCAGGGATTTCTTTATATGCATAAAATAAAACTACTTCCTTCCTCATCCGTCTCTTTAGCACGAACAGACCCTGTAAGACCTCGCCCTCGCAGGCAGTCACCCACACGGGGCTCAGTTTGCGCATCGCTGTGTCTGTGATTCACCACAGTGCCGCAGGCGCTCGACGGTATTTGGGACTGCGCACGAGGACGCGTTCGAAAGCTACAGATGACACCACACAGCAGAATGAGCGCTGTAGTTCTCTGGGGGGGGGGCAACAGCAGACCACCACCTACACTCCAGTCACTTGTCAACATAATACAGGTGATTTTAATATTTTACTGTCAAACTGAAACCATATGTGAGCCTGTAATGCACTGAAGGGTTTTACTGCAGTTACTGGTACTTATGCCAAACCATTTTGGGGGGGGGGGTCTTGCAGATTCCTACAATTTAACTTTAAATGATCTTTTATAGGACCTTGGGCATCTATGATAATTGTTTCACTCAGACTGCCAGAATTAATCAGAAACACTTCCTGCCTGCAAAAGTAAATTATCCCTGAAAAAATCATGTACTGTGATTTGGCTTTTTTTAAATAAAATTAAATAAAAGTGTGGGGGGGGGGGTCTATACATTTGAATGAATGAATGTTATATTTATACAGCACTGTTCAAGGCACCCAGAGTACTTAGAAGCAATGGGGAGCCTCTTCAACCACCACCCCTGTGTAGCCCCCACCTGGATGATGTGACAGCAGCCATTCTGCACCAGTATGCACATCACACAGTAGCTAAGGTGGTGAGGGGGCAATTTGATATAGGGGATGATTAGAGGCCATTTCTGATAGGGCCACAATGGGCAATTTTAGCCAGGACATTAGGGAACCACCCCTATTCTTTCAAAAGATGCCTAGGGATCTTTTATGAGAGTCAGGGCCTCAATTTTATATTTCATACAAAGGACACGATTTTTATAGCAGTGTCCCCATCACTGTGCACTGGAATCCACACAGACCACAGGATGGGCTAACCTGGCCACAACACCACCTCTTCCAGCAGCAACCCAGCTTTCCTTGGTCTGGCATCCAGGTACTGACCAGGCCCAAACCTGCTTAGCTTCAGATGGATTACCTATGCTAAACTGCAGCTGGTATGTCTCCTGACATTTGTTCCTTTTAACTGAAGTATCTTATCAAATGCAGGAATAAGTAATTTCAGTGTTCAGCCACAAGATGGCAGCTCAGTCTGTCAATACCAATAAACAAACCAAAACAGACCTGCAACGTGTCACAAGTGGGGTGGGGGGTGGGCAGAGACTGCTATTCCAGAATAGAGCTGCACATCTGTACATGAATTTGCTGTAGTCTCCCCCTATTAACTGCATTTCCTGTTATACTTTTGCCAAACTAATCAGACCAACCCAACATGATACAAAAACTGTTCACTCCTAAAGCCTGTGTAGTCGATCTAAAGCCAGTCTGGTACATAATGACCAAAGAAACAGTACAAGTATAACAGGCAGAAAAGGATATAGGTTATGAATGAATGTTACATTTGTATAGTGCTTTTCAACACACCTAGAACGCTTTTCAGAAGCAATGTAAACCCACTTCGACCACCACCCCTGTGTAGCCCCCCACCTGGATGATGTGGCGGCAGCCATTCTGCACCAGTACGCTCACCACACTGCAGCTAAGGTGGTGAAGGGGCAGGAGAGAATTCATCAGACACGGGATAATTAGGTCGTCAGAAGTGATAGGGCCACAGTAAACAATTTTAGCCAGGACATTGGGGTACCAACCCTACTCTTTGCAAGGGTGCCCAGGGATCTTTTATGACCTGAGTCAGGACCTCCGTTTTATGTGTCATCTGAAAGACGGCACCATTTTTACAGCAGAGTGTCTGTCACTGCACTAGGGCACTGTGACCCACTCAGACCACAGGTGGGCTAACCTGGTGGCCACATTAACCTCTTCCAGGAGCAACCCAGCTTTCCTAGTTGGCCTCCCATCTAAGGACTGTCCAGGTTGAAACCTGCTAAGCTGAATCCAGTCAGCACCGGCCCAACCTGGACACTCACCTCTCAGTGACAAAGCCACTCTGTAGGACAGGTGTGATTGTCTCATAAAAAGATTTATTTTTTTTGCCTAAATGTACAAAGGCAAGTTACAGTATTGTATAAAAAAGAAAACTCAAAATGTACACTTTACATAAGAACTCTGATGGGGTTGGTGGGGGTTTTGATGAACCTGAAGAACAAAATGAAACACAGCAACTACAAACAAAAAACCTAAATAACTGTAAACATCTTTATTTCAAGTACCGACTGATACTGAACCACTGTCCACTGGAAATGAACGACACGGGGGAACGGTGGAGGAGGAGGGTGGGGGTGTCACTGCAGGAAGAGCGGGACAGCCCACCCCAACCCGCCCTGCATCCAGCACCATTTAAGATGAGTGCCTCAGCAATGGCCGTGTTGTGGTAAAAGACTGACAGATCAATCCCATGATTGGTAAAAGTAACAGGGGAAAAATACTCAAATAAATTAAAGACTCAAGAGCCCCCCCCCCCCCCCCCCACAAAAACCCCTTTAGCCTTTAACCACCTCCATTTAAAAACATCCAGAAGAGCAGAAACCTACAGAAGGTGTTGGAAAGTTAAGCACATGAACTGCTTCAAACCGGAAGCTTCTGTCTTGGGCAGGTGTCTGAACGTCACAAATCCATGAACAGGGCCATCCGGACTTCAAAACTGCAACTTCTTTGAATTTAAGAACATCTTTAAAACAGGTCTGAGAAGTGACTGGACTGGACCACCCCCACAGGAAGCTAGGCCTGCTTCCTGTCCCTTCCAGCCCCACCTGGTGCAGGTTCCCCCTGACCCCATGGGTTAAGAAGCAAGACCTACAAACCCGAGTTACTGTCTCCCTGGCAGGCAGTATTTTGTAGTCTCCATGGAAACACCTGCTCGCAAATGGACCAAGACCAAGGAGAGCCTCACCCCTCCTGGAGAGGGTCTAAGAACAGACACAGGCACGAACGCCTTGAGGTCCCTCATTTCCCGATGGGGGAATAATCAGGTAGGGGGTTAGTGGTGCAGACCAGGGCTACTGGGACAGGAGGGACACTTCAAATACATCATTAGCTACCGTTTCCATATCATATCAACAATAGTACAAAAAAAGATAAAGGCTAAGAGAAGAAAGGGTAGCAAATTCGTCCGACTGCCTTTTTAAAATAATTCCTCTGTACACTATATACAGAAAGCAGACGGGAACCTCATGGCGTGGACAGGAGGCGTGGCTCGGCGCGGGTTAATGCTTTTCAGTGCTAATTTACACCATGCGGGGGAGGCTGTGTTCTGGGAGAGAATGGGATGCGTTCGACTTGGAGGGAGGGGGGCACCCTGAGAAAGACCCCCCCAAAGCTTGCCATGGCGTCCCATCCAGGGACCAAACACGGTCTCCTGAACTGTGAGAGGAATGCACTGCAGCCAGCTCCTCATCCTCGTCCCTGCCCACACTCATCACACCCTGCAGGTAGGAGCCAGAGGCAGATGGCATTCTCATATTCTGCAGCACCCAATAGAAACTAGAAGGGGGCAGGTCACATGACGCACTGGGGGGCCCAGCAGCGTGAGGAGCCTCCCTGCTCTGTTTCTTCAGGGTGATGTTCACGCCCCGGCGGAGATAGATGGAAGGGCTCTGCTGGTGAGCTGTGTTGCCGTGGTTACCTCTGCACCTACATCCACTGGCCCAGTGGGGATGTCTCCCCACCCCTTCTCAGATAGTAGTGTGCTAGAGGCAGCATTAAAACCCTCTCAAATTGTAGTGATTTCATTTCTCTTCAGGGATTTGCTCCCCCCCCTCAAATATTACTGCAAAAGAGAAACTGACTGGATGAAGGTCCTTCAGGTAGCATCTCTTCCGTCTAGCGAGTCCGCCACAGTGCAAAACAGAGCTCTGGGGCCAGCTGCGTGTTGAGAGGGCAGGGCTCGGGGGCCCGGGGGCCCATGCGCAAGCCCATTGGGAGGAGGACAGCCTGCTGAACATCCAGGCGGAAAGCCGAAAAAATAAAAAAATACAAAATGAACACCATTTAACTGATGTCTAAACAAACTCTGCACGCTTCGTCATGTGATCCAGTCACATGACTCCTGTAAGGTTGAGGTAGCCAATCAGGTCTCCCTGTGGAATAAACAAGACATTTCAAAGTACAGTGCGCAACAAGTAATTTAAGGATTTCCAAGGAATAAATAAATGCTGACTTTCTCTGGTAGGTGTGTGTGTTTGCGCGCGTGCCTGTGTGTGTGTGTGTGCGCGCACATGCGTGCTCCCAGCCAGGGTCTTACCGGTCTCACCTCCTCGCGGGAGGGTACAGGGAGGGTGTGGAGGCTTGCTGACTGGCAACAATGGCTGATGAGGAGAGACCTGTGGGAGTGGGAGTAATGTCATGCCACGGCAGGGTAATCTGGGCAAGCTCACGCCCTCAGACAATCTACATGTCTTGGTGTAGTGACAATGCCCCAGGCTTGGCAGAAAGCGGGTGATTCTAGCTGCTCACCTGTGGCATAGGAGAGGTCGTACTGCCCTGAGAGCAGCGGGTAGCCCAGGTGGTGGTGGTGGGGGTGGGGGGGCATGATGCGCTGGGAGGGGGAGGAGCGCGGCCGCTCCCCATCCCTGTCGCGCTCCGGCACGCCCCCCCGCTCTCGCTCCCGCTCGTGGCCTGCCTTGTCAGCCGCCGTTGGTGACTTGCTCTTGTAGTAACTAGCGTGTTGGTGCAGGATGTCCAGAGCTTTGGCGTCCGGGGCCCCCTTGGCACTCACCGTGGGGCTGCCGCGGGCCTTCTCTCCCTCCTCTGCGGCCGCCACCTTGCCACCGTACGGCGGGAATGAGTAACCTGCCGATAGGTAAGACCCTGTGGGGACCACAAGGCCCAGGAGGGAGGAAAACGGACATCAGCAATAATGGCATGTGGCCTTTGACAGGCGCGTCAGGCGGCAGACACTGTACAAGGGCCAGATACCCATCTTCTTTACAGACTAACTGAAACTGATCTGTTCCTTAACTACATCTGCAACCCTTTCAGTCATTGCTACATCACACCCGCATATACACACACACATTCTGTATTTTGTGTCGGGATATGAGTATATCGGTATATTGATAATTATATCAGCCATGGAGGGTAATAATCTGGGAAACTTTACTTGCATTGAGGATACCCCCTAAATATTAAGTAATTTTGATTCTTTTTGTCCCCACGTTATTAATTCTGGTGGTAGATCACACAGACAGGCTGCCTCCACCAAGAACATGCTTTGTCACCCCCTTGGTGAAAGTACGACTGACCCCCAACCCCCCAATTCCAAAGTCCTGTCTGAAAAGCCCCGCCTCTCACCGGGGTAGTTCTGCATCATGACGGAGGGCATGCCGCGGTAGCCGGGGTGCCCGGGGTCGTAGCCCTGTCCATAGGGGTAGCTGTGCACGTAGGGCATGTAGGACTGGTGCTGTGCCAGCGAGGAGGAGAAGGCCATGTGAGCAGCCGCCCGGGGATCCTTGGCGATGCTCCGGTGCTCTTCTGACGGGGTGGCCACCGAACGAGGGTCAGAGCTCTCCTTACTTTCCTCCTTAGTCATGGCCTCCTTGGGTCGTGGCCGTTCCTCCTTGCCCTTTCTATCCCGCTCCCGCTCCCTCTCCCTCTCCTCCCGCCAGCGTTGCTCCTCTTCCTGCTGCTGCTTCTGAGCCTCAGGGTACTTGCTGGGGTACACGTAGGGCCAGAGGCGTGCCTCCGTCTCCTGAGGAGCAGAGGAGTCAGTCAGCGGCTTTACAGGGACAGCAGGATGTGCGTGACTCAGGCTCTTGGAGCTGGAGCTCTGGTCGCAGCTCAAACCAGCTTTTAATCTCTCAGACACTTCAGTGCACTGCCACTGGAGCTAATGAGCCAAAACTGTCAGATGGTTTCAGCTGAGGCTTTTAAAGAACCAAAGGTTTACTTGCTATCACAGCAGTCTATTTCAGGAGCACAAGTCCAGGTTACATGCTCTGACTCACTGGCTCAATCTGGGTTCAGTCTTCTACTCAGCAAGTCAGTGACTCACAAACCACTTGGCAGCAACTTCCCTAAAGCAGCATTAGAAAATTATTTTCTGGTTTATTCTCAGCCAAACCACTGCTAGCATTATTTGCTTGACAAAAACTGGTTTAGTGGATGAACCCAAACTGGCCCAGGCAGTTCTTCAAACATACAGATATCACTATGATGCACTGAAGTCTCTGCTTTCACACCCTGGGGTCACACACAGCCCAAGGCCAGTGTATCATATTCACAACAGGAAGGCCAACACTCCAACGCAGTTCCACATGTCTATATGGGACCTCAACATCAGTACAAAGGCTGCTAGCATCACATCTTGCTGGTAAAGTGGATGGGTAGTGCTGGGTGAGGCTGAATGATTTCATGAGAATAGTGATGAGGATTATTTCTCTACAGAGGAGGGAGAAAGGTGGATGAGGAGCAGAGAGGGCTATGCTTACCTGTCTGTACCACATGGCGTGGTCCCCTCCCGGCTTGGGCTCCTCCTTGCCGTGGTGCGCCCCTTCGCCCAGCTTTGCCTTCAGACCCTCTGACGGCTGGGCCTGTGCCTTTGCATCCTCGCCTTTCGGGATGATGACGGATTTCACGGCATCCGACGAAGAGTCTTTGGACTTACTGGGGTGGTGGGCCTTGCCAAGGTCCGAGAGACTGGGTGCCTTGGACAGAGTCGGGGGGATGGAGGCCTTCTGCTTCCACTCCTCCTTCATGGAGGCCTCCCGCTCCTTCAGGGCCGCCTCAGTCTTCTTGTCGGCTGCCGCCTGCCGCTGCCGCTCCTCCTGCTGCTGTCGATAGGCCGGGCTGGTGCTCATCAGATGGTTGTGGTAGGCCTGATCAGGGTAGCCGTAAGGAGATACGTAGGCATATTGGTTGTAGTAGAGCGGCTGCATGTAGACGCTGGAGCGCTGCTGGATGACCGAGGGTTGCTGCTGGCTGGGGGCACTCAGCTCGGGCTTCCGCTCATCCTGTGGCTCTGGCTTCACCTTCACCTCCCGAGGCTCCGGCTCCTCTTCCTTCTTGACCTTCACAGGCTGTCCTCCCTCGGTCAGAGGAGCGGCTCCTGCAGCAGCACTGGAGCCCCCCGGGCTGGGGTTGGTGTAGCCAGGGGAGTAGTAGGTATCATAATTGGCATAGTACGGTGAATCCTTGCTGGGAGTCTGAGAGGGGAATAAGGCCTTCTTGGCTCCTTCCCTCACAGCCTGCTCCTCTGACTTGGCCTTCATGGCCTCCATTTTGCTCTCACCGTCCTCCCCGGCATCAGATATATCTGAGTAAGCAGGACTGTTGGTCTTCACGGAGGCGTTGTCAGCGCCGTTCTGAGCGGCGACGTGAAGCGGTGTCAGCGGTTGGCCCATAGTGCTGCTCTCCATGCGACTGGCCACGCCTATAGAAGGGCTAGGAGCGTTGTCGGTGAAGCTGTAGATTTTGTCCGCTTCAGCTTTGATGCTGGCCAGGCGGCTCTGAAGGGGGTCTGAGGAGCCATTAAGGAGTCCCTCACTCTTGGCCCCTGGGTCAGAGGACTCTGAATATGGACTCTTGCCCTCCTCAGGTTTTCCGCCCTTTCCCTGAGGCCTGGGGCTTTCTGCATCTTTGCATGCCTCCTTCTTCCTCTTGTCCTTCTTTTTCTTATCCTTGGAGCTGCCCAGGGCTGGGTTGGCTGTCGATGGGTCACTCATCACAGTGGGCTTGGGCTGAATGGCTTTCAGCTGTGGGCTCTTGGGAATGGCCTGCACAACAGTGGTCATGGCAGGACCAGAGACTGGGCCCCCAGCTGTATAGGGTGTGACTGGAAGAGGGTAGAGTTGCTGGCCGGGCATGGCTGGAGCTATCGGCCGAGCAGATTTTATGCTCTTCTGCGGCAACTTGTCTGATTTGGCACCTCCTGGTTTCCTGGATTTATCCTTGTCGGAAGCCTTCTTGTCATCCATGCCATCATTGCTGGCCTCGTCGGTGAGACACGGCCCATCCTCACAGCCGTCCATGGGCATCGCCCCAGTTTCCTGATCGCCATCTCCAGGCTTCTTCTTGCTTGGCTGTTTGGAGCCAAACTTGCCAGCAGAAGGAGAAGGACTTTGAGCATCAAAGCCTCTGCCTTTAGGGGTGACTGAGCGAGCGGGGGAAAGGCAGCCCTTCTGCAAGATGGAGGCACCATTACAGCCGCCAGGCTCCGGGTGTAACGTCGAGTCCTCCCCGTACTCACTGTCACCGTCCAGATCAAGCTTGACGTCGTCATCATTATGGGCACGTGCCTGGTGGTACTTCAGACCGTTGATGTGCTTGTACTTCTTGTTGCAGTTGGGGTGGGGGCAGTCGATGAGGACAGGCGAGGGGCAGCTCCGGTCTAGTGGGGGTGGCAGGGGCTCTGGCTTGATCGTGGAAACTGGCAGGCCGGGGGGTTGAGCACCACTGCCACTGGAGTTGGTGCGCATTCGCTTGCTGCCCTTGGTGTCTTCCGAGCTTGAGTTGGGTTCCATGTCTGACGGGGGCTTGTTCTTGCGCTTGCTGGCAGAAGACGGGCTAGCCTTGATGTCCTCTGCATTGCTGTTGGGTGGTGTGCGGCCCTCAGAGGAGTTCTGGCTTCCCCGTCTGCCCTTGCTGTTGGAGCCGGCTCGTGTCTTGCTGTTGTTGCTGCCCTTGTTGTCGGAGGAATTGCTGTTCTCATGAACGGGGGTGTTGCTGTTGGGTCTCATGCGCTTGCCTCGACCTCGGCCGTTCCGCATCTCCAAGTCGCTGGTAGGAGACTCGCAGAACCTGAGCAGGAAGATGGAGATAGCTAACTCCCCTGGTCCCCCCCTCACATAGCTAAAAATAAGGGAATTAAACAGACAACCACTCTTAGCTGGGGGGGAGAATCTCTCATAGGACTGCCACCCAGCTTGCTGGGCAATACATGCGGACAGATAAATCTGATCTGCTTTCTGCTCATTAGCTCAAATGGTAAAAAGAACATAATCTGACTGCTAAAGAATAGACAGCATTTATTAAACTACAGTCTGCTCTCAGCAGATACCATCAACCATGTACAAAAAAGGAAGCTCGAGTAACCATGTAAGGTAGGGTTACATATCTATAGTGAATATTCAGTGCCATGTAATTATATTAAGAAATATGAAATCAATGAAGGCAATTATACTTAAATTAGTAAATTAGCATTCCCTCAGTAATGAGATTTGTCTGCTTACCTTGGGGGGGCCCAGTCATGCCTGGTGCAGTCCAGGAGGGTGCCAACATAAGTCTTATTTCTCCAGGTGACGTTCACCACCAACATTCCTACAAGAACAAGGAAGCAGGCTTGAGAATAGAAGTTACCACAACCTGGCTCTGCAGGTACTCAGCAGCACCCCCCCACACTGACTGGCGACACGCAGCACTGAGCATAACGCATCCATGGGGCAAGTGAGAGGGAATCCTGACAGCGTTTTGTTTATCCCCTGAAGAACCATGGCTCAGCCAATCGCCTGCATCTCTACCCACTGCCACTAGGGGGCAATAGACAACAGATGCTGCGGAGGAACAGACGTGTGGGTTCACTAAAGCTGGTCTCAAACAACCAATATTCTGCTAATTGGAGTTAGTCAAAGGAGTGAAGTATGGTCAGGGGTTCCAGGCCAACCAGCTGGGAAACCCTCAACACGTAGAGCAGCGTCTCACAAACAGCCAACCCATGACAGAGCTGTAATCCTATCAGGCATGACGGCAACATAACGATTTTAGCGGACGTGTTTGCATGCGCTTTGCAATTTGGCATGCAGTAAAGGGCAATAAGCCGATAACGAAGGAAATGGAAATCAAATGGTTAACATCACAGACATGCATTCTGGGAGGACTGGATACAAGTACAAGCTCCGTTCCAAGACGGCGGCTGTCACTCCGGAAAGCAGAGGCAAGGCAGCTGAGCTGAAGCTCTAGACCGCGGCATCATTCAGGGTCTCCAGTGAGCACAATGTTGGCAAGATGCTCGTCATTTGGTTTGGATTTTCAAGAAGATGGATCAATAGAAGCAGCCAGCAGCTTTCCAGAATAATTACCATTACATCTGTAAGCAATTTTCATTACAATTGTTAGCAAAATGGCAAATAAGACTAAGAAAGCAGGTCTGTGCCCGATGGGCCAAATCGTGAGACAATTGGATCAGGCTGCCGGCCGTTTCCTGCAGAACCCTAAATACGATTCCCCTGTGGTGAGAGGCTGCCAAACGCAAAGCCATGTTCCCAAGCCCAAGCCGGATTAGGATGAGGTGTAAATACAGGTGTGACAAACACAGGCTGTATCCCCAAAGGTGTGAGACAGTCCCACAATGCGGGCCCAGCGTTGGGGGTGGCCGGAACCCTCACCCGAGCACTGACCCTCAGGTCCAGCTCAGCCCCCCCGAAATAACTGGAGCCAGCAGCGGGTATCACGCGTAACGCTGTAGGAATGCTGGACGGCATCACACTTTACTGGCCCAAGAAACGCTGCTCTCCTGGCCACCCCATCCCAAACATCTGCATGCTCTGCAGTGTGATGCCCCTGGAGCTCACAGGGCTGGTACGCCAGTCCAGGTCTGGTTTGCATTTTGGGTCGGCATGCGCAGATGCAGGCAGCAATGCATGCGTACAGATACACAAGCACACATGCAGCTATGTATTTCAAGTGTGACACGTCAGAAGGCTCCTCTAGTACCGTGGTACGTGAGGAGGACGGGCGGATCACACCCTCAGACTAGCATGCATTGCATACCACACTGGCCACCCCAGGGCCAAAATCAGGGTGTAGATAAGGAGACCCATGCGGGGCAGGGTGTGGCTCAGTGGGCTAAGCCTCTGTGTCAGTGATCAGAAGGTCGGCGGTTCAAGCCCAGCCTCGGCATATCTGTGGATCCTTGAGCAAGGCCCTTAACCCCCGCAATGGGGGCTGCCCTTCATGGCCAAACTTAGGGGAGGTGAAAAGAGAATTTCCCAATGGGGAACAATGAAGTATCAATTATTATTATTATACATGGTGCATTGGGATAATGGGTGGGTCTGTTTGCCTAGTTGATCGCAGATTTCATGTCCATCCTAAGCAGAATAGGCGGTGTGGGGGTGTGGGAAGGACGGCTGCTCAGACCCCCAGCATCACTCACACCTCTATAAGCGTGTGTCTAAGAACAAGAGAATATGTGAACACCAAAGTTAAATATCCCAATGCATTTGATTATCAACACTGCAGAGAAATTAAAATCCTGAGCACCGCACCCCTCCAGCAGCCCTGGCTAGCGAGGGGCTTCCTGCCAACAGCTGTGTGTAGCAACTCACTAATGACACCGAATAACAAAGAAGTCACCAACCCCCCGTGGGTCAAGCAGGACACCAAAGAGCAGCTCCATTAGTCAGGTACAACCACCCCCCGCATGCTCCCACTCCCAGCCCTAAATCGAGGACAAGCCTGCAGAGAATGATCTCTGACCCTTCCCCCACCTGCCAGTCAAAGCACCATGGGCCCTTATGGCCCAAGGGGGACACTGGCAGTCTCAGAGTGCTTCTGTGAAGAGGTAGGGCCCCCCCCCCCCCTCTCCAGATAACCCTGAGGTCTGCTGCAGGGCTTGGCGAGTGCGCCTGACTTACTGGGAGAGGAACCAGGGAGGTGATAGAGAATCGCCATGGCGACGGTGCAGCGGTGCAACCACACCCATGTACATGGTCAGAAAAATCCAGCCACTTCACAGGAGCAACATGAACGGGTGAAAAGAGGTAGAAAATGAAACCGGGGGCAACTGTACCTGCGGCATGTGGGGGCTTAGCGGTGCTGCGAAGATTAACTACAGCCCTGCTGGGGTTACAGGAAACTGGCAGTTTGATCTGTATTCCTGTCTGATGCACAGCACCAGGGTAATGATTCCTCCGGCTGACAACGCAGATGCAGCATATCGGAGGCGGAGGGATGCGGATTTCTCTAAATGACAGTGCCGGTCTCTTTCGGAGAGCACTTGGCATACGATAGTGTGAGAGAGTATGAGAAAGGAAGTGAGAGTGTGAGAGAGAGTGTGAGAGAGTGGTTTACACAGCCGTCCGCAGGAATAAGCCTTCTCAAAGCACAGCTATTCAACAAGCGAGCTAACTCTGTCCAGGCAGAGAGGACAGACCCTAGTTAAGGAGTGCCAAGCACACGCCAGCAAGGGAGGAGGGCTGAAGGCTGCTCTCTTGTCCAGCCGGACATGTCAGGCGACCAGCTGCAGCAATGGCTGCCCTCCTGGCCCAGGAGCGGTCTGGGCACAGCCTCAGGGAGCACTGCGAAAACCTGAGAGAATGAACTACACGTGCTGTGAGATGCAGGCTGTTCGTGCACCGGACAATGATGACGTCTGAGGCTGAAGATCACACTGATATTAAAGGGAAGCCGTTACTATGGCCTACTGGTACACGGCAGCGTGACGGCGGGGCAGTGACTGCGTCACTGCAGAGAGCTTCTCACGGTGCTCCACCATATCACGGGTTTTATATCTGTCACAATCTACTAGTGCCGTTAGCTGTTATTAGCATATAATTAGTTGTCAGTGTATGTGTTATTTAATGTGTAGATTACGCTTTCTATATTTCAGTTTACAGAAACCACAGACAACTGTAAATAACTTGTGTATAGTTGCTGAACACAATAGTTAATGAGTAGCATGGGTGTGTATCTGCACATAAATTTCAACTGGATGTCATCATCGCAGGTTCCTACCAGACAACCTGTGCAGGCTATAAAGGGAGTAAAGAGCTGCCTCTAAGCCGTCATCAGTGAGGTCACATGACCTGGGCACCCTCCTCCTCCCCGCTCCCGTGGGCCCTTACCGTCCTCAGTCTCCTGCCACACGATGCCCTCCAGGTTGACGCTGGTGCCCGGCTCACACGGGCCCAGGCACTCCGGCTCGGTGGCCAGGCCCACGTCGGCCGTGTTGACTGCCACGGAGCGCGTGCGCACCATGATCTGCTCACACGGGGAGGCGATGTCGCCGTGGGACACCGGAGCCAGCAGCTGCAGTGGGGGAGGGGCGGGGGTGGAGACCGGAGACTCCATCTGTGGGGAGAAAGGGAGTAGAGAGATCAGGTTAAAGCCTTGCAGATACGAGTCGCTCTGTTTGCGTTCTGGTCGAGCAACGGGAACACACGGACGCAGCCTGAGGCTGTCGATGGATGGACGGAGCAGATCTCACTGCGATCACCCTACACAAAGCAACTCTGCTCCCAGGCACTAATGATGACACAGAGCGTAAGGTAACCCTGCGACAGCTGGCGAGATCCCCCCAACCCTGCTACTAAAGGAGGATGGATCCCACTGCCCCCATCACCCAGCTAAAATAAACTCATAGCCCAACTGACCCGGCTGCATCACACTTTATCCACCATGCGGATACAGTCCTGGTTTGTAGGCAGGTGGAGGACAGCTGCTACAGGTCGATCATATGCTTGTGAATATGATTTTGTGCGTGTGCATGTGTGTGTGTGTTTTTGCATGTCTATGTGCGCGTGTGAGAGTGTGTGAGAGAGAGAGAGAAACATCCAGCCACTTCCACAGCACACAGATGACTGCTGGATTCTTAGCACCCATAAGGTTCATCCACCCTCACAAGGCTGAACCCTGTCGCTCAGGCTTTAACGCCCTCCTCACAGCTGCGGCCTTCCAAACCACACCGTTAGCGTGGATTACGGAGTCGTTTGGGCTGTTAGCTTCCTGGCTAAGGGAAGACGGCATGGCGCCCTTCCTGTGGTGGGCCTGGGGGCAGGGACGTTATGGGAGTGGTGGGGTACACTTCCCGTCTGTGGATTCGAGACTGGAATTAAGCGGTTTGTGTCCGACAGGGAAAAATCCACAGAAATTTTGATTAAGGCGGCAGCCCTTTGCTTCACGCCCAGAGCCGTGCTTCAGATTGGTTCTCTGAAGTCATGACATCTGCCAGGATGGTTTCAGCCGAGCACCAAAGCTCTCCGAGGCAAATCCCGACTGAGAAGATGAAAGGGCGCGGCAGAGCCGGGCGCCGCAGGGCGGCTCAGAGGGGCTGACGCTGGCTGCCCTCTCCTTTCCGCACGAGCAGGCAGGGGGAATACAGCGAATCATTAGGGACCAGTGGCACATGGTGTCATTTTCCACCCATCTTATCCCCCTAATGGCTGCACGTGTTTGTTTTTGGACACCCCCTGCCAAGTTAGCAGCTCTGCTAAGCAGAGCGACGCCGACTGCCTCCTCAAGGAATGAGCAATCCACTCAGTCCGACCTTCACCCTGAGGAGAGCTTTACACCGCGTTGGATCTGCTAAAGTTGGAATAGCGCTGGTCCCTGGAGTGACAAAGGCCCAGGGGTAACTCCCAATGCCTGTTCTCGACGAGCCCGGGGACGCAAACCTAGACAGGACAAGCACGGATGCAGCTGCACACTGCTCCAGTGAAAGACATCTTCAAACAAATGGCTGTTCCTCTGCAGAGCATGTCACTAAATTAGGGCCCAGGGGAATCTGCTGAGGAAGACTCAATGGGCCGATCAAATCTACATGAGGAAGGAAACGCAGAAACCAGGGAGAGAGGGACAATAGGGTGGGGAGGGCCCCAAGGAAATGGTTTAAAAGTCAATGAAGTACAGGTACTGAGCATGCGGGAAACATCCATGCGACACTCAGAGACCGTGCTCAATGTTTACCGCACCCTAAGTCGATCAGAAACCAGCATTTACTGCTCAATCCCATCGGCTGACAGGAGGACAAAACAGCCTTCATCAGAAGGTCTGTCACGCCTATCAAGTACAGGGCAAGGACTTTACGTCACTCAGGTCAATTCTGCGGTTTTACAACATAACATTTCCGGCATTATTACAGCCACCAGCTGCATTGAACTTCAAAACAAATGTACAGCAGTCAGTCACAGAACTTACACCAAAAGTCTGAACTCTGAACTTTAAGCCATCCAATATCAAGCATTTCACTGAGTTTGTACAACACAAATGCCACCACCATAAGCAGAATGTCTCACCCAAAAAGGAAAAAAAATGCCTTTGAAATATCTTCCTCAGATGAGTGAGCACCATTTAACCTTAAATACCACACTCTGATAAGAGGAATAACAAATAATAAAACAAAAGCATGAGCCTACCTTTCCAGTAAGGGCATGGAGAGAACAGAAATGCTACAGGTCTAAACTGCTCCCTTTACAACTGTATACATCATATTCACAAGGTTACCACTGCAGTGTAAGGATTTCCTGTTTAGTGTTACAAACCAGGTAAAAAAAAAAAAAACAGAAAAACGGCTCTGGCAGCTTGAAAACACCTCCACCATTAGTCACATATCACCCTGCAAGTCGCCACGATGCACACGTCTCCCCACCCTCACGGTATTAAATCACCATCAGTGACGATTCCAACCCCAACTGTGTAAACAAGCCAATGAAACCGGTGCGAAAGTTTCAATAAAGACACACGCTGGCTTGTAATTATGTGTCATTTTAATGTCGCTACGGAGGAACCGCTGGTGGCAAAAGACTGGTTATTCGAGTCTGCTGCTCTGTCCTGTCACTGGCCAATAGGACACGGCCTGTGTCACCATGATAAATGCGACCTATTGTGTGCGAGGGAACAGAGGAGCACTTCAGCCTGACTCTTGCACGGTTTCTGCCACTGGCCACTCTTTTCAGGGCAGGGATCTATGGACTATTAAATTCCTAGCCAATGCCAAGTAGTTCAGGGTAACCATGCACCGTTGGACGGTGGTTGCTAGGTTAAATGCCAACACCCCATCATTAAACAAAAGGCTTTGTATCGGAGCCAAGCCGGGCAGAAGCCACGAGTAGAACCTGTTAACGATTACAACACTTACGGTTTAATGACCCTAAACCGGGAGCGCTCGGCACCTTGGGGGACACTGCACCACCTGTTCTCAAAACCCGGAAAGGGGCTCCGAAGACAATGCCACTCACTCAGCATCGATTCTCCTGTGTAACAGGACTATGGAAGAAAACCACTGGGACCCAAACATCACGACGAGTGACCGTCCCTGACGAGCAGCAGAAGGAATGGGGAATCGAGATAAACATTAGCAGTTTATCAGTAGATCCTTGGCAGATATGGCTAAGTATGTTACGCTGCCTTATCTCGGCTATGACTCATGAGCTCAGCCAGTCATACCGGTTAGAACAGGTTTGAGTGGGTTTCTGAAGACGCCCAGTGCCATTTCCCCCATCCACCTTCAGTAAGAGCACCTCCATGGCTAACTTTCCTTTTCAGAGCACAGCCTTCCTCCACTGGGCACCAGGGGTGGCTTTGGCGGCAGACGGGGGAGGAACTCGGCCTATGACCTGAGCATTACTCAGGGCAGCCTTGTGTTGCTGAAGACTCTGCTCCGTCAAAGAAAATACTGCGTGTAATTTAGCTTTACATGGTTTAAGGAAACCACCGCTGGCCAGTACCAGAACCATCAAATGGCAGATGCAGATGGATTAGAGTCACAACCGATCATTTTCAGTCGAGGCTTGGCTTGCCTGCAAACAGCTCGTGTGCGAGCGATTCCCTCCCGAGACGGGGCTGACTAGATGGTGGTTTCGATCCACATGTGACCTTTGCACTGGCTTCTGAGAGCACATACACCTTTGTATCTGAACATTGCCGAAAAGGGCGAGTGGGAAATCTCACTCGCCATGTGTGAATGTGACAAGTTCAATCCTGCTTGCTGCTGGAAACAACCAGAGAACAGACGACAGAAGCAGCCTCCTCCTAACTTACATCAGTGGGAAGATCTCAGCAGATGTAGGTGCCATGTCCACCTAATGGTGTCTAGAGGAGAATTTCCTCGATGGCAGAGACCCACCACATCGCTTGTGTTTCTGAGGAGTTGCGTTGGTGTAGTGTTTGCCACCGTGTCTTGGGAGACCCTTAAATCAGCCAGACAGGCTGCATTCATGCCAGCCATTAAAGCCCCTTAATTTAAGACCATGCAGCATCTATAATGCATGAGAACAGACAGCACTTTCAGCATCGCTCTTCCACTGCACTGCTGTGGGTGGCGCTCTAGTCAGAAATCTATGAACAGAATGTTCTCATGTAAGATTACTGATGGTGTGAAGGAGTTTGACACCTATCCGCCCACCAGCTCACGCAGTAATTCTACATGCACTGAACAGCGTCAGATATGCAGACCTGACAACCCATCTTCTGCGAATCGTTCATGCTGGTATCACAACCAAAAATGTGCCTACAACACTTTCTTAGCAATATTAAAATATGAAATAACAGAAATAAATCCATATCTGCCCTTTACAAACTGTTCTCGCACTTCCTCCAAAGCGCTTCCACAGAAAACCACACACTTCCTTGTTTACTTTTCACGGCTGACCACCTGCCAGTCAGATCTCTTCCTGTTGATGCTGAGCGCCTGGGCTCCTCTAGTCGCTGGGGGAGGGGGGCCTGACGAGGAGACCGCTTCAGAGCTCACAGATTCCTCCTATTCGGGCCCTTAGCAACAGCTTCAGCCAACCGTCCACTTGTTGCTACAAGGCCCCCACCCCCCACCCCCTCTTAGCCTAACCATTCTCACGCTGTAGGAACATCAACCGGAAAGAACAGGTATATAATCAGCTCTTCTAAGCATTCAAAAGCACAGACAGCTCCGATTTATGGAAATCCGGCCAACAATCGCTGCAGGAATAATCGGATATTCAGACTGAAAGCAGGAGAGGAGCAATGCGATGGCATGAATTAAACAGGAAATTTTTACCTGGAGATGCGCTATTGGATTTCAGGGATGATGATGAGTCAGGAAACACACTCCACAGCAAAACCTACGTCTGGCTTGAGCGTTAAAGGGAACATAAGCCTGAGGGAGAACGGGAGACGGGGGGGGTGGCATGCCAACACCTATAATTTGCTGCCAGGCAACAGGTCTGCATTTAAAGGGAAGGCAATGGAGAAAACGACCCGAGGGGCTAACTGGACAAGGCAAGATGCTACAGGAGTCACCTGCAGGAAATCACTGGAGCTTGTACCTCTGGTTTTCGGCTTGAGGTTACATCAGATGCATCGTTAAGATGTGAAGGAGA